TCGTGTCGCGGCTCGAAGACAGCGACGCTGAGGTGCGCGCTGCGGCCGTCGCGGCGCTCGGCGCCCTGCCGGCGGAGACGCTGGCGACGCACACGCACGCCGCGGTCGAGCTGCTGTCGAGGGCTGGGGACGCAGAGGCGTCCGCCGCCGCAATCGACGGCTGGGCCGACAAGCTGTCGGGGAGGCCAGAGGGTGACGAGCTGGGCGGCCTCCAGTTCTCGCTCGGGAGAATGGGGCGCGAGTGGGGTGACGGTGGCGTCGGGGACGGCATGCCGTAGATTTGCGGAGCTGTCGTCCTTCTGTTTTGTGATAGTAATATATTATACAGTGTGTGTGTATATATATGCAGAATGTGCACAACTCTCTCTCTACTCTCTCGCAGGGGTCGACCGATTCGTACTACTGAACAGAACACACTGACACACCAAATCTCGATAGAGGTTGAGAGCTCGGACAGAGAGTGAGAGAGAAGACGAGAGGCCAGAGACCGAGAGAGCACCAGCAGGCAGCAGCATCCTGCACACAGCCAGCCATCACCCTGTGCACCACGGTCCCTCTCGCCGCCTCCGCAGCGACGACCGTTTAGGCGGCGGCCGCTAAGGTACGTCGCGCGACCATATGAGATCCCTGTCGTGCCCGCAGCCGGTGCTGGCGGTGCAGTCCGCCTCCAGCTCGTCCTTGGTGCAGAGGCGTGCGCCAGCCTCAATGCAGATGGCCTCAGCCTCGGCAAATGTCTTGTCGCTGTGGCACCCGCCCATACCGTCCACCGAATCTGCCCATGGGCAGCTTTCGCTTCGCTTGCTCCAGCGGTTGATGCGCGTGTCAGAGCAGCAGCGCACCTCGTGTAGCTCAGAAGCCGCAACCCAGCCGGCCGGCTCCGCGCAGTTGCCGACCCGTCCGCACTCGACGAAACGCAGAGCGGTAGACGGACTGACCGAGGGGGGCGGCGGCAGCGGCGGCGGCGGCAGCGGATCGGCCGACGGCGTCGTCTGTACGTCGCTCGACCATATGAGATCCCTGTCGTGCCCGCAGCCGGTGCCGGCGGTGCAGTCCGCCTCCAGCTCGTCCTTGGTGCAGAGGCGCGCGCCAGCCTCAATGCAGATGGCCTCAGCCTCGGCAAATGTCTTGTCGCTGTGGCACCCGCCCATACCGGCGTCCGACTCTGCCCACGGGCAGCTTTCGCTTCGCTTACTCCAGCGGTTGATGCGCGTGTCGGAGCAGCAGCGCACCTCGTGCAGCTCGCCCTGCGGCTCCAGCAAGCCCTGCGCCATGGCTTCGCCGCAGTTTCCGCGCCTTCCACAGACGACCCAGCGCGGCTTGGCCACGGTCGCCGCCGGGGGAGGCGGCGAGGGCGGCGGCGATGCTGGCGGGGGTGGTGACGGCGAGGGCGGGGGTGGTGACGGCGGGGGAGGAGGCAGTGGTGAGGGTGGAGGGGACGGTGGTGGGGTCGGTGGCTGGGCCGGTGGCTCGGACGGTGGCGGAGGCGACGGCGACGGTGGCGAGGGAGGCGGTGGCAAGGGCGAGGGCGGTGGCGGCGAGGGCGGTGGCGGCGAGGGCGGCGGTGGCGAGGGCGGCGGAATAATCAGGTCCTGGATGGCAACACACGAGTCGCCGTCAAAAACCTCGCGCGGGTAGTCGCAGGGCGGGCGGCATGTGCCCGGGTCCGGCATTGGCGCTGGCAGTGGCTCGGGGCACGGCGACGGATAAGGCCACGGGTACGGGTCGGGTGACGGCCATGGGTGCGGCTCCGGAGAGGGCGAAGGGTCGATTGGGTAGTCGCAGTCGTACTCGCAGTCATCAGGCGGGCGCGGGTGGCAATTTGGCCACCACGGAGGGCAGGGTTCATCCTCGTGGCAGTCGGGTTTCCAAGGGGGGCAGGGCTCTGGATCTGGCTCCCCGTCATCGTAGCAGTCGGGCTTCCACGGAGGGCAGTCCGGCTCCGGCTCTGGCGGCTCGTCGTCGTGACAGTCGGGTTTCCACGGAGGGCAGTCCGGCTCCGGCTCTGGCGGCTGATCGCAGTCGTATTCGCAAGGCGGCCACGGCTCATCATCGACTGGCGGGCGAGGCCACCCGCCGCCGGGACCCTTGCCGCCGCCCTTGCCGCCACCCTTCCATTCTAAAGATCGTCCCCCGCCGCCCGCTCCGCCGCTCCTCCCTCCGTAGACGACCATACATCACACATTCCCCCTCCTTCAGACGCTTCAGACTGCGCGACGCCCCCCCCCCCCCCCCCGACCCCCCACCCCACCCCCACCCGCATTGCGCCCACCGCCCGCCGCACAACACGCAACACACAACGCACAACACACACACACCCCGCACACCGCACACCACCACAACACACAACACACAACAAGTGCTCGTCTTTTCTCCTGTTCTATGAACATACATTCTTTCCGGCGCCAGGGGGGGGGGGGTCCGGCGCGAGCGTCGCTGACAGTCACACACGTGCCCGATCACACAGCAACACGACCGCGGGCGCAGACCGCACGCACGCACAGCAATTCGCAATGCTATCGTCTGGCAGCAGTATCCGCCGCACTGAGCCCATGGCTGGCAAGGGCTCCGCGGAGCGCAGGCCGCCGCCTACCGTCGAGGATCTCATGTTCGAGCGGCCGCACATCGCTGCGAGCGGAGCGAGAGAGCTGATGCAGTTGGTGCAAGAGAGCCAGCGGGCGCGGCTGGCTCTCGCGGCCAACTTTGAGTCGCGCTTCGAAGACCTCGTAACCGAGGGCGCCGCGTCGGGCTACCCGGCTCTCGTGGAGCAGTTCCGACCGCTCTTTGCGGCTTGCGATGCGACGCTCGAGGCGCTGGCTACGGCGCTGGCGGGGAGAGAGGGCGGTGCGGCCGCGTCGCGGCTCGTGACAAGCCTAGTCCGCGAGGAGAGGATGCGACACGACGCCCACCTCAAGGTGTGCGGAGACGCCCGAGGCCCTTTCGAGACCTTTTGTCGAGGCAGTTTTGAGAGGCACAAACACGCTGATGCTGCGCTCGATCTGCCCTAGCCCCATCACCCTCCGTGTCTCAACCCCACCTCTCTTGCCGCAGGTGCAGGTGACACGGCAGCACAAGTCGGTAGCGGGGGTACCGCGGCCCTAGACGTTGGATTCTAGACAGCCACGAGGCGGCTCCGAGACCTTTCCGAGACCCTTCAGAGACCTTTCCGAGACAGCTCCGAGACAGCTCCGAGAACACACGTCTCCACCGCCTCGTGCAACGCCCCGCGTGTGCACATGCCCCACCGTGCTAGGGCGTGTGCAACACTGACTTGGCCGCCTCTCCTCCTTCGCCGCGCAGGCGCCCGACGAAGAGGAGGCGGCGGAGGCGCGGGCGGCGCTCGAGGGCGCGGAGGCGACGGAGATGGGGTACGTGGAAACGATACGCGAGCTGCTCGAGGAGCTCACAGCCGAGGCGGCCGACTGCGAGGACTGAGGCCACAGCAGGCGCGTCTTTGCTACTCTAGGGATCAGGTGTGAACGCGTCGCTCGTTCCTGTGATGCCACCGGGGCACGCACGTTGCACCGGGGGGGGCGGGGGCACACTCTCGACGCGAGTCTCGGCTACATTGGCTCAGCCCCCGCGCGAGGGGAAATAGATTAGTACACAACCCTTGAAAGTACTGCAAAATTCACACCGACAGTGTCGGCGCCGGGCACCGACTCGGGTACAAAATTCGCGTTGCGACGGGTCGAGACGCGCCCTCACATTACACATACACTGCTCACAGAGCTCGTCACATCCTGGTTGCACGTCACAGTCACACCAACGGCAACGGGTCACTGTGTGGCGTAAGATCGTACAACGCCTCACACACTCCCCCAGCGCGTGCTACCTGCTTCGGCCACGCGCAACGAGCTCCACGCTCGGCGCATTTCGCGTCGGCGCGCTGCGATCCGCCATCCGCGAAGAGAGAGGGTTCAACGGGCCTCGCGGGGCTACTCAGGGGGAAACAGTTGGTACTGGGTGGTCGTGGCCTGATGCCCGTGCGGTCGCTCGGCCTGCAGCGGCGTCTCGGCGGCGGCACGCGCCTCGCCGGGCGCCGCGGCGGCCGCCGCGCCGAGCTGCGCCGCGAGCCCGAGCATCGAGAGCCCTTGGCTAAACGGGAGCAGCGTAAGCTCTGTCGCCGGCGGCTGGTCTACAGCTGTTGAGGCGCGGCGAGCATATACGCGACCACGCAGCGCGAGCGCGGCAGCGACGAGGGCCATCGACAGCAGCAGCGCCGCACCGGCACCGGCGCTCGCACCACTCACACCAGAGAACCCCCAGTCGCTGCTGCCGGCGCGTGCGCCCCACGTGTTTGGCTCTAGCAGGCACGGACCCGGTGCCGGGAAGCAGGGACTCGCGATTGTGGCCGCTGCCTCCGCGTGCCGCAGCAGGACCAGCAGTGTCAGCATCCGTTCAGTCCACCGCGCGCTTCGAAGCCGCCAGAAAAAGAATTTCCACTAAACGGCCGTAGAAAGAAAGAAAGAAAACACCCAATGGAGGGATGGGAGCCATTGTCTGTTTTCTTTCTTTCTTTACACTAGGCACGGGAATTTTATAACGGGCGCCAACTGGCTTAAAATCCCTGTGTGGTGGCGACGTGCCGTCCTCCCAAAAAGAAAGAAAGAAAGAAAACAGACAACCCAAACGAGGGATGGGGGAGGATGACAGGGTCCCCACCTGCACGAGCAGGATTTTTGGAAGGACGATCAGGGGGACAGGTGGGGCTCTCCTGCTCCTGACAAGGGACACGACAGGCTCGCAGCGCGGTGCACGGTGGGCTCCCAACTCCACTGGCGGTCTCATCTCAGTCTAGCGACCTGCCTCCAGCTTCTTGCTGGCAGTCTCTCACTACCACAGGCACACTGACACAGGGGTGGCAGGGGCGGCGGCACGTCCGGCAGGTCAGGGAGACGGCCACATTCGCGGTAGCGCGGCTCTCGCGCGAACAAGGCGGCGCTTGCGGTCGGGCAGAGGCGCTGAGCTGCCTCGCCAGGGCCGGAGCAATCCCTCTCCTCATGTGCCTGGTCAGCTCGGCCGAGAGTGACTCCGTCAAGGTCAACGCGGCAGAGGTGCTCAATCGCGAGTGATTCGTTGTGAGCATCAAGCATTGTCCATTAGGTCGAGGCGGCGGAGGCGCTGACGCACCTTGCCACCGACAGCAGCGCCAATCGGCCCCTTGAGACCGACGCCGTGCCGCTTTGAGACGAACGGGTCGTCGTTTCACAAAAGGTTCAGTGTGTGTGAGTAGGCTCTTTGAAACCAATGTCGTGCCGCCTTTGGTGGCTTTCCTCAAGGGCGCGTGCGAGCTAGCCAGAGTCGAGGCGACCCGCGCGCTGCACAACTTGCTCAGCTGCTCTGCCGGCGACCTCCGCCCAGCGCTACTGCAAGGCGGCGCAGTCGCGCCGCTCGTGGCAGCGCTGAGCAACGGCTCGCCATTCAATCAAGAGGGGCTCCCAAGATCCGCCCCGGCACCTTTGTGCGACATTCCCGTAGGCTCGCCGCTCTTCCAGGGAGAGAGCGCCAGCATCCTCGCCACACTCATGCAGGACAGCCCCGAGACGCGGGTGACGGTCGCTTCGGCCGGGGCGATCCCGCCGCTGGTCGGCCTGCTGCGCAGCAGGCATCTTCCCCACTGACGCGCCCCGGGTAGACACTCCTGCCGAAGGTTACTTTGCAGCCGCCTCGCCCTCCTCCCGTTCTCACTGACACCGTCGCTCCTGCCCCCAGCCGGCTCGACCTCCGCTCGCGCGGCGCGGTGGCGCTGACCCAGCTCGCTCACAGTCATGTCGAGCATCGCGTGGCCATTGCCGAGGCGGGCGCGATCCCTCCGCTGGTAGCAATGTTGGGCGAGTCCACCGGCGGCGCGCAGGACCTCGCGGCGGGGGCGCTGGTCAAGATTGCGCACCCAGTGGCGAACCGCATGGAGGAGCGTTTCTGACCCTCCTTCCAGCCTACCCCCCTGCCATATGCCCTCCACTGCGACGGCAGCCACTCTCACCCCCCAGCGACACCCCGTTCCGCACGTAGATTGTCCAGTCGGGCGGGATCCCGCCCTTGATGGCGCTCGCCAGCGAGGGGAGCGGCGATGCACGGGCCGCCGCCACATCGCTTTTGCGGCTCATCAAGAGACTGCCCCGGACGAACGAGACGCCCCTCTCCCCGACGCCCAGTGCGCGGAACGGAGTCGAGGGAGCGACGGAGGACAGCGCTGTGCAGGACGCCGCTGTCAACGCTGGCGGTGGCGGAGGCAGAAACGGCGGTGGTGGAGAGCCGGTGGCGCTGAGTGAGGTGGTGTCGGGCGTGCAGCAGAGAGTGCCGCCGCACGAGACCGGCGAGGCGGAGCGAGACGGGGTAGAGAGCCTTTCTGAGGCGGCGGGAGCGGTCGCGGGCCAGGTGTCTGCCGAGGCGCTACTCGATCCCGTCGGAGGCGGCGCCTTTGCCACCGCCAATGGGGACGAGCAGAGTGGGGACGCCGCGGCGGAGGGCGATGGCATTGGGGAGGAGTGCGCGATGCTTGAGGCGCTGAGCGCGCGCCGCACAAGTTTGGAGGATCTACCGGCGTGGCCTACAGATTGCGAGAGCGGGGTCCTCTCTGACCACGCGTCAAAGGAGGACGAACAAATGCTCCAGCGGGTGTAAAGCCGCTGGCCCGAGACTCGAAATGTGCTACCACCCCACCCCCCTCCTGCGCCCACCCCCCTTTCCACAGGTGGGTGCGCTTGAGGCGCACGTGCGGCGGCTCGCCGTCGCAAACGAGCAGGCAAAGCGCCCGCCGCCGTTCTCTCTGTCCGGCCGCGTCAACCATCCAGCCCTCCCACCCCCCTTTCTCTCCTCCGCTGCACTCACTATCCTCAGCACGCGAGCAGGCGCAGCGGCTCATCGTGGCGCTGGGGATGCGGGTGCAGGCAGTGTCGACCAGCAACACGGAGCTGCGCGCGCAGGTTTCCGAGCTCGCCAATGCGAAGGCGGCGCTGAAAGACGAGATGGCGGCGTTGGGTCAGCAGGTGATTGGCAAAGCGGGGGCGCCCGCTCTGGTCGGATTAGCTACCCCCCCCCCCCGCCGCCGCCCCCCCCCGAGCAGGTGGCTAGCATGGGAAAGAGCAGCGGCGCGCCTAAATCGCCGCAAGGCGCATCGAGCCTGATTACGGGCGAAGACACTCTGGTGGATAAGGTGCCCCCCCCCCCCTCTAGCTCACCCCCACGCGCCACATGACGCTTAATGTGGGGACCGTCGCGTTCGCCCATCGACTGGCCTTCAGCAAAGTGACACATGTCTTTCGATAGGTGGCGCGCATCCGCGAGATTCTGGACCTCGAGGCGGGGAGCACGATCGTGCAGACCGTTGATGCTGCGAACGCGATGGTGGGCCTCGCGTCGGAGGGCGGCCTGCTCGTACAGACTGAGAAGCTCCTCCAGACGGTTCTCGCCTGAGAGATGCAAGGCGCGCTGGAAGCAGACCTGCGTCGACGGCATCGCTCAGGCTCGAGCAAAGCCCGCTTGGCTGATGTTCGAAGGCGGCGGCGGAGGCTGCGCCGGCAGTGGCACGCGTGGGGGGCGTCGAGGCTACCACGACCACGACTCGGTTGCTATTGCGTATTGGTTTGATACAGGGTCAGGGATGTAATTTTCTTAATTCTGAGAAAGAGGAAACAAGTGATGCCGAGCTGTATAAATAAATAAATAAAACGGACATCCCAAGCTAGGGCTGGGTCGAGGACAGACACCTTAGCCGGTAGCGGGCCGGTTTCTTCTTCGCACATCCTTGTAAAATTCTTCTTCGCGCGCCGGCAGGCAGCAGCGCGCACCACTTGCCGCAGCCGTCATGGGAAAGCACTCCAAGAACAACAACGAGCGCGCCTTCTTCTCGCACGCGGAGCGGCAGGCTGCCAAGTACGGCCGCCACTCCTCGGGCCTCCTTGGCGGCCACAACACCGCCGGAGGGAACTTCGTCGACACTGGCTGGGGCAGCCACAAGCGGACGCTCGACAGCGACGCGATGAAGGACTTGGACGCGTGCAGCCTGACGCTAGTGCCGTGCGTCGATCCCGTCATCACGCCCAAGGGCGTCGTCTACGACAAGCAGGTCATTTACCAGTACATCCTCGACCGCAAGGCGGAGATTGAGCGCGAGCTGCGCGCGTGGACGGCGCAGCAGGAGGCAGAGGCGGCGGGCGCGGCGAGCGAGGCGGCGCGCGCGGCGGACCAGCGGGTGGAGGAGTTCGTGGCGAGGCAGGAGGGCCTCTCCAAGTCCGACCTCGCCTCCCGCCGACCCAGCGACCCGTCGTCCTCCGGCGGCGCAGTCGGCGCGCTGATGGGTGCGCGCGCGCCCTGGCCGAAAGGGGGGGGGGGGGTTCTTCACGGCTCGGTGTGTTGGGCAGGCCGCACGCTCGTGGAGGACACCGGCAAGCACGCGGCGGACACCAGCTTTTGGGTCCCGCAGCTGACGCCGCAGTCCAAGCACGCTGCGCCTAGATGCAAAGAGAGAGAGAGAATGAGCAGTCGTCTTCACACTAGCGCTCGAGGAGAGGCTGCTCCGGGCCGCACCCGCCCGCTGTGTCGCAGCCGCACTCGCTGCCCTCGCCTCGAAGCGCGGGGGACGCGGTGTGCTCGGCGCTTGTGATCGGCGCCTCTTCACACCGTCCCGTCTCTCCACAGGAGCCTTCTGGACAAGCCCGACGGAGTCGTCCGCTGCTGTAGATGCTGAGGAGAGACCCGGTGCTGCGGAGAGGCCCGGGTGCTGACAGAGGCCCGGGTGCTGAGGAGAGATGGACGTGCTCCGAGTAGCGCTCGAGATCTCTATCTCGAGAGGGTGCGTGCCCGACTCTTGTGAGCTCTTGTGTGCTCTTGTTTGCTCGTGTGTGCGCCTGTGTGCGCCGGTGCGCCGCAGGTCCGCTGCCCTCTCACTAACCCGAACCCGAACCCGAACCCGAACCCGAACCCGAACCCGAACCGCAGGTCCGCTGCCCGATCACGAACGAGCCCCTCAAGCTCAAGCAGACGCCGCTCCGTGCTCCACACACTGCAGAGGCGGCACACGGCCGTCACATGTCCGCGACACGCCCCGACAGGCAGCTCTACCCGCTCTCCTTCACGCGCGCGGACGAGTCCCTCACCTCCGCCGAGACGCTCGCGAAGCCGCGCAATGAGAGGCAACCTCTCCCCGCACTTGCCCCGCATCTCCCCGCATCTCCCCGCACCTGCCCCGCATCTCCCCGCATCTCCCCGCATCTCCCCGCACCTGCCCCTGCCCCGCACCTGCCCCGCATCTCCCCGCATCTGCCCCGCATCTCCCCGCATCTCCCCGCACCTGCCCCGCATCTCCCCGCACCTGCCCGCATCTCCCCGCATCTCCCCGCATCTCCCCGCATCTCCCCGCATCTCCCCGCACCTGCCCCTGCCCCGCACCTGCCCCGCATCTCCCCGCATCTGCCCCGCATCTCCCCGCATCTCCCCGCACCTGCCCCGCATCTCCCCGCACCTGCCCGCATCTCCCCGCATCTCCCCGCATCTCCCCGTAAGAGACGCACCGCCGCGCAGCGAGAGGCGCAGCGAGGCCGCCGCCCTCCATGCCCCGAGGTCCGGCCCGGGGTGCCAGGTACATCTGCCCGCTCTCGAAGAAGGCCCTCTCCAACACCAACCCCGCCGCCTTCCTCCGCCCGAGCGGCACCGTCGTCTCTGTCTCGTGCGTCGACTCAATCATCAAAAAGGCGCAGCAACCCTGCACTCCTCCTCTCCCCTCCTCTCCTCCTCTCCTCCTCTCCTCCTCTCCTCCTCTCCCCCTCTCCTCCTCTCCCCCTCTCCCCTCCTCTCCTCCTCTTCTCCCCCTCCTCCTCTCCTCCTCTCCACTCCTCTCCTCCTCTCCTCCTCTCCTCCTCTCCTCCTCTCCTCCTCTCCTCTCCTCCTCTCCTCCTCTCCTCCTCTCCACTCCTCTCCTCCTCTCCTCCTCTCCACTCCTCTCCTCCTCTCCTCCTCTCCTCCTCTCCTCCTCTCCTCCTCTCCCCTCCTCTCCTCCTCTTCTCCCCCTCCTCCTCTTCTCCCCCTCCTCCTCTTCTCCCCTCGCCCTCTCGTCCTCCCCCCACTCTCCTTCTTCCCTCACCTTCGCCGCGCCCCCGAGAGAACGCACACGACGCCAACGACACGCCCACGACACGCCCACGACACGCCCACGACACGCCCACGACGCCTCCCCTCAGGACATGGTCGACCCCTTCACGGACCCGCCCACGCGCCTCAAGGAGAAGGAGCCGACTAGCCGAGACGCGCCGAGATGCGCCGAGACGCGCCGAGATGCGCCGAGATGCGCCGAGATGCGCCGAGATTCGCCGCCCACGCGAACCTCGAGGGGAAGGAAGAGCAGCCGCTAGCGTGCGGAAGCCCGCAACCCCCGTGCTCCGGCCAGCACTCGAGAGGACTCGCACTCAGCCGCCACTGCATTCGCTGCGCACGCGATGAGCACACCGCGCGATATGCGTGTACGCCCGCCCTGGCCCTGGCCCTGGCGCCGTGACGCGGGTGTTTGCACTCGAGCGCACAGGACATCATCCCGCTGCGGGTCGAGGGGACGGGCTTCGCCGCAAAGACCGACGAGAAGGCGCTCAAGGTGACAAAGACCGACGTGATGGGCTTCTGATGCGCGCCCAGGCACCCACGCTCCCCGGACGGCGGGGGGCGCGCTGAATTCTCGGCGGGGACTAAACGCGGGGACATTAAACGGATGGGTGGCTGTTGTTCATCCGGACCGCTGATGTGCGGACGTCGTCCTCTTCGACATGCGCCGCCAACAACAACACATGTGTAAAAATATCGTGTACAGTCAGTCACAAGTTTCCCGAAAAGACAAGTCCGTGTTCTCTTTAAGGTTTAACACACTGCGCGCTGCCTCAGCCCTCACTCACGCTCTTTTTCTCTCCGTCTCGCTCCCGCCATCCGTGTCAGGTGTCACGACCCGGCCCAGCTCTGGTGCGCAGCTGTTGCAGCGGCTGCGAAGCATCAGCGCCACGGCCCGGTCCTCCGCCCCAAACTGCAGCACCGCCCAGCGGCAGTACCGGCCGCTGATCTGCGCGCTCAGCGCGGTGGTGGTCGCCGAGGCGATCGGCAGCCCTCGCTTCGTCGCCTCGGCAGCCTCCGCGCGGCAAGCGAGGAACGCGGTCACGGCCTTGCCGACGAGGTCTGCGCACCTATTTACAGCTGCAAGCCTGTGAAGAGACGCTGTGCACACTCACAGCGCACAGAGAGGCCTCGCACGGCGCGTGCGGCGAGCACAAGCCTAGTCGCAGACTCCGGCACTGAGGCGGCGCAACACCGCTGTGCAGCGCCAGGCTCGTGTCCTCTGGCAGCTGGCGGCTGGTGCATGCCGGCCCTCTGCACCAACTGTCTGCACTCGCCATCTAGATGGTCGCCATCTAGGAGCGCAAGCCCAGAGTGGCGCACTCCTCGGCGCAGCCCGCCGCCGCGCACTCCGCCCTGGCGACCAGCAAGGAGCCATAATGAGAGACGACTCGTCCTACCTTGGCGAGCTGCTGCGGCGGCACATCTCGGGTCATCTCGGGCAATCTCGGGTAATCTCGCCGTGCGAGCTGCTGCGGCGCCGTCCACTCGCCTCCGCGCGAGTCCGGCTCGATCTCCTCGAGCGGCGGCCGCCTGCCACGCAGCTGAGTAGCGGTCCCACAACTGCGTACTAGGTGTCAAGCTCGCTCGACTCGGCGGCGGCCGCCCGCCGCCGCCGCTGTCCGCCCGGCTGCAGCGCGGGCAAGTGCAGTAGAAGAGCTTCTGGGTAAGGAGCACGCGCCGCCGCTCTAACCATAGGCATAGCCGAGATGTAAGCCGAGACATCGCCGACACATTGTGAGGCGGCATCCCTCGCCTTCTCGTGTCGTGGACCAGAGCTGGTCGAGATACGAGATGACGATCTCGTCGCCAGCCTCGATGGTGCACGTCGCGAAGTAGTGCATCTCCCCGCCGACTCTAGTGCTGTGGCCGCAATTTGGCGAGCAAGAGTGGTTGGCCTTCGCCGCAATCGGGAAGAGGCCTACAGGTCGAGAGTGGCCGGCGTGCGGCCGCGCAGAACGCTCACGCCAGCCGCCACCTCGATGACGAGCGCCGGCGCGCTTCCCGAAGGCATGCGCGTTGATGTCCCCAATGAGGAGTAGGTGCTCAAAGAGATCGGCGGCACGCGGGCCGTCGTACGCCTCCGCCATGCGCGCGGCGAGGCTGCTCCTCTCGGCAGAGCGGGCCGCTCGCTCCGCCACCGCCTCCATCCTCGCGTGGTCCGAGACGATGCAGCTGAGGCCCGCGTCGGCGTCCGGCGCGGCCATGTCGAGCACCGCAGCTTGCACGTCCGCCGAGGCGCACATGAAGGACGAGATTAGCTGCTCCGCGTCGTCGTGAGGCCACGTGAGGCAGGGCGGCTCGCGTAGCACCGTGTCGCCGGGCTCATAGCGGCGACTCGCCCGCATGATGCGCCCTTGCCCCACGACGTGCTCGATGCGGAAGCCCTTTTGCGTAGCCATTGGCAGCCCGTTCGCAGGCGAGCTTGGGGTCAGAAAGTCCCCCGGTCCGGGTCCCAGCCGACACAAGCGGAGCACGGCGGACTCCAAGGCACGAAAGAAACACTTCGGCATAGCACCCTGTGAGCAATCCGTGTAAAAAGGCCAGTCAATTTTCCAACACCCCTGTAGCAAGCACCCTGTGAGCAATGCGTGTAGCTCGGCCATATCGCTCGTGGGTGAGTCCAGACTGCTGGACGCACAGACAGACAGATCGCAGCCAGCTCACAGACACAGGCAGGGGCAGCTCACGAGGTGGCGCCCCGGGTCTGTATAAAGAGAAAATAACGCACGGGTTCGAGCTTTTGCCAGACGTGTTAACCATGCGTAGAGCTCTAGTCACGTACAGTAGACGTACAGCCGGGCAGACGTACAGCCCCAAAACCTCTCCCAAACAAACAGCTCTCCCCATCTTAAAGTAACACAATGGCTGTAGCTGGCTCCATGCGAGCGTAATGAATAGTCAATCAGAGCTCGTGCGGCGTCACGAACAGATAATCAACGCTGTGGGCCCAACGTGTCCAGCGCGTCCTCGCTTGTTTCTCAGAGGTACCGCCTCTCGACCTTCGTACTTGTTAAGTATTGAACAATGACAATGAAAGGAGTCCCGTGAACAGCCTGTCAAATGCCATCGGAGGTACGGTAGACGGAGGTCCGTGGCGTCTGTCCGGAATTTGCGTCCACATCGCCATCGGGCGCACCTTCCAGATCCGTCTTTGAAGTCCTGCGGCTTGGCTCGGCCCCCTCCATCTGTCCCACGACTGAGACACGAGCACGCCGATCCTTCTTCTTGTAGCATATGTAGCCACCGACGAGGAGGGCCGCCACGACGGCCACCCCAGCCACGGCCACGATGGCGACGACAGCGGTGCTCGAGCTCTTCTTGGTTGGCTCCTCGTTGTCCACGATGTCGACCGCAAAGGGGCTCAGGATGGAGATGCCCCCAAGGACGGGGCTCATGGCCTCTTCAAAGTCCTCTTGGCCCGTCGCCCCGGAATACGAGGCGAGGCTGCTCTCGGCCGCATTCGCTTGCCCCTGCGTGAGCCCTGGAAATGTGGCAACGACGACGACGCTTCCGGCGCGGACCTCGATCTTCGAGCCGAAAGGCGCGACGACAAAGCCTGCCAGGTCAGCAAGCTTCTCGAGGATGCCTTCTTTGATGGCCTCGTCAAAATCGCTCACGTCGCCGCTCGCGGAGAAGGAGGCGATGACCTGGAATGAGCCCAGCTCTCCCGACGGCGACGGCGATGGCGCCGGTGCCGTTGATGGCGGGGACGGCGGCGGTAGGGTGGGAGGTGCAAATGAGGGCAGCGCAGGCGGCTGTGGCGGCGAGGGCGACACGGATGGCGGCGGCGGCGAGGGCGACGCTGACGGAGGAGGGGTCGGAGGCGGCGGCAATGGAGGCGGAGGGGTCGGCGGCGGCGGCGAGGGCGGCGGAGGGGTCGGCGGCGGCGGCGAGGGCGGCGGCGAAACCGGCGGCGGAGGAGGCGCCTGGGGCTCATCTGCAGGAATCCCGGGAGGGTAGAATGGCGGCGGCGGAGATGGAGGCGGAGGGGTCGGCGGCGGCAGCGACGGAGGCGGCGGCGTTGGCGGCGGCGGCGAGGGAGGGGGAGGGGTCGGCGGCGGCGCCGCCGGAGGCGGCGGCGTTGGCGGCGGCGGCGACGGAGGCGGCGGCGTTGGCGGCGGCGGCGACGGAGGCGGAGGGTTCGGCGGCGGGATCGGTGGGGGAGAAGGGGGTGGCGGGGACGGAGGGTGCCTCGGCGGCGACGATGGTGGCGGCCGAGGAGGGAACAGTTGCTGGCTCTCAAAGGCCAATGTGCCCTGGAGGAGAGTATTGTCGCGAAGCTCTGTCATCTTCGCCTCGTTCGTCGCGGTCAGGCTGGCGGCTAAGCTCTCGAGCGACTCCCCGCTGTCCGCGATGGCGGTAGTCTTGGCAACGACCTCCACCTTACCATCGTATACGACGGCGACGCCAGTGCCCGCGGCGCCATCCTCAACTTCGGCGGTGGTAAGGAGAGCGGTCGCACGGATCGTGTCGGTGCGGTCAAGCAGCTGTCGCAACGCGAGCGGGTCGCCGACGGTGCCTGTGCCGTCGCCGATGCTGCATGTCGCTCCTTTCGAGGCGCAAAGGTCGAGGAGTTTTTCCTCGTCGAGATCGGTCCCGGTGACTTCGTCGATGAGGAAGAACTCCGCGTTGAGAGAGATGCCGTCGGCATATTGGTACAGCACCGCCGCGGACTTGCCGTACATGAGTTTGGCGTCGAGCAGGGAGCGTTGACGGCGGCGTTCGCTTACAGTCTCACCTGTCTCTGCTTCGGTGACGACCTTGACTCCCTTAGGCGCATATGGCGGCGGGGACGGCGGCGGGGTTGGTGGCGGAGGCGCAGGTGGCGGAGGGGTTGGCGGCGGCGGCGAGGGCGGCGGCGGCGAGGGCGGAGGCGGAAGGCTCGGCGGTGGAGGGGCCGGCGAGGGCGGCGGCGAGGGCGACGCAGACGGCGGTGGCGACGGCAAGGCAGATGGCGGGGGCGGCGACGGCGAGGCAGATGGCGGGGGAGGCGACGGCGAGGCAGAGGGCGGCGGCGAGGGCGGCTGGACGGCTATACTATCGAGGAGGCTGCCGCTCGCCTCTACGAGAGAAGAGACGATCCCCCAGGGGCTCTCGTCATCGGAGGATTGGAGGGAAAATCGGCCTGAACGGCCGCTGGCCTCCCTCAGGAGAGTCGCGTTGGTCGTAGTGACGCCGTCATTGCCGTCAGTCGCACCACTGCGGGCCGTGCGCGACTCCACAAGATCGGTCATAGTGACAGCAACCGCGTACTCGTAGTTCGCTTCGCGCGACAAAATGCCCAAGGAGGGGAGCAGGTGATCCGTCGCTGCCATTGCGAAGCAAGAGTAGGCCATCACTTGGAGCTGGTCGTCACTCAAGACAATGTACGACGCCGCAGCGCCGAGTACCACGCTACCGGCTGAAATAGGAAGGACGACGAGGAGGTTGGTCAGGTCATCGCTCCTAGCGTCGACATGCGTGACCACAGGAGAAGAGAGCAGAGTACTGTCGATGGCGACATCGATCGTCACTGGCCCAACCAGCTCGTCCTCCACGTTGCGAGCGAGGTCGAGGGTGCTGTAGACGGAGATGCCGTCGGCGCCGTACGAGCCGTTGACCGCGAGCGCGACCGGGAAGATCGGGTCGTCCTCCTCCTCCTCGCCCGAGTCGGAGTCGCTCGGGGCGAAGGTGAGCGAGGCCGAGGCGGCGAGCGGGTCCATCCAGTCGACGTCGGTCGGCGTGAGCGAGAGCGAGGCAGCGAGCGGCGAGACGGACGCCGAGCCTTCCATCGCCACCGAGGACGCGCCGTAGCCGACCTCGCCCTGAGCAGAGAGCGGAAAGAGGTCCTCGTCCCACTCGACGCTGAGGCGGGCCGCCACTGGCTCGAAGCCAGCAGCGCCGGAGGGCTCGATGTCGAGCGTCATGCTCGCTCCCGGCACGGCGTCGTCGTCGCCGTCCCCGAGGTCGAGGGTGCTGTAGACGGAGATGCCGTCGGCGCCGTACGAGCCGTTGACCGCGAGCGCGACCGGGAAGATCGGGTCGTCCTCCTCCTCCTCGCCCGAGTCGGAGTCGCTCGGGGCGAAGGTGAGCGAGGCCGAGGCGGAGAGCGGGTCCATCCAGTCGACGTCGGTCGGCGTGAGCGAGAGCGAGGCAGCGAGCGGCGAGACGGACGCCGAGCCTTCCATCGCCACCGAGGACGCGCCGTAGCCGACCTCGCCCTGAGCAGAGAGCGGAAAGAGGTCCTCGTCCCACTCGACGCTGAGGCGGGCCGCCACTGGCTCGAAGCCAGCAGCGCCGGAGGGCTCGATGTCGAGCGTCATGCTCGCTCCCGGCACGGCGTCGTCGTCGCCGTCCCTGAGGTCGAGGGTGCTGTAGACGGAGATGCCGTCGGCGCCGTACGAGCCGTTGACCGCGAGCGCGACCGGGAAGATCGGGTCGTCCTCCTCCTCCTCGCCCGAGTCGGAGTCGCTCGGGGCGAAGGTGAGCGAGGCCGAGGCGGCGAGCGGGTCCATCCAGTTGACGTCGGTCGGCGTGAGCGAGAGCGAGGCAGCGAGCGGCGAGACGGACGCCGAGCCTTCCATCGCCACCGAGGACGCGCCGTAGCCGACCTCGCCCTGAGCAGAGAGCGGAAAGAGGTCCTCGTCCCACTCGACGCTGAGGCGGGCCGCCACTGGCTCGAAGCCAGCAGCGCCGGAGGGCTCGATGTCGAGCGTCATGCTCGCTCCCGGCACGGCGTCGTCGTCGCCGTCCCCGAGGTCGAGGGTGCTGTAGACGGAGATGCCGTCGGCGCCGTACGAGCCGTTGACCGCGAGCGCGACCGGGAAGATCGGGTCGTCCTCCTCCTCCTCGCCCGAGTCGGAGTCGCTCGGGGCGAAGGTGAGCGAGGCCGAGGCGGCGAGCGGGTCCATCCAGTCAACGTCGGTCGGCGTGAGCGAGAGCGAGGCAGCGAGCGGCGAGACGGACGCCGAGCCTTCCATCGCCACCGAGGACGCGCCGTAGCCGACCTCGCCCTGAGCAGAGAGCGGAAAGAGGTCCTCGTCCCACTCGACGCTGAGGCGGGCCGCCACTGGCTCGAAGCCAGCAGCGCCGGAGGGCTCGATGTCGAGCGTCATGCTCGCTCCCGGCACGGCGTCGTCGTCGCCGTCCCCGAGGTCGAGGGTGCTGTAGACGGAGATGCCGTCGGCGCCGTACGAGCCGTTGACCGCGAGCGCGACCGGGAAGATCGGGTCGTCCTCCTCCTCCTCGCCCGAGTCGGAGTCGCTCGGGGCGAAGGTGAGCGAGGCCGAGGCGGAGAGCGGGTCCATCCAGTCGACGTCGGTCGGCGTGAGCGAGAGCGAGGCAGCGAGCGGCGAGACGGACGCCGAGCCTTCCATCGCCACCGAGGACGCGCCGTAGCCGACCTCGCCCTGAGCAGAGAGCGGAAAGAGGTCCTCGTCCCACTCGACGCTGAGGCGGGCCGCCACTGGCTCGAAGCCAGCAGCGCCGGAGGGCTCGATGTCGAGCGTCATGCTCGCTCCCGGCACGGCGTCGTCGTCGCCGTCCCCGAGGTCGAGGGTGCTGTAGACGGAGATGCCGTCGGCGCCGTACGAGCCGTTGACCGCGAGCGCGACCGGGAAGATCGGGTCGTCCTCCTCCTCCTCGCCCGAGTCGGAGTCGCTCGGGGCGAAGGTGAGCGAGGCCGAGGTGGCGAGCGGGTCCATCCAGTCGACGTCGGTCGGCGTGAGCGAGAGCGAGGCAGCGAGCGGCGAGACGGACGCCGAGCCTTCCATCGCCACCGAGGACGCGCCGTAGCCGACCTCGCCCTGAGCAGAGAGCGGAAAGAGGTCCTCGTCCCACTCGACGCTGAGGCGGGCCGCCACTGGCTCGAAGCCAGCAGCGCCAGAGGGCTCGATGTCGAGCGTCATGCTCGCTCCCGGCACGGCGTCGTCGTCGCCGTCCCCGAGGTCGAGGGTGCTGTAGACGGAGATGCCGTCGGCGCCGTACGAGCCGTTGACCGCGAGCGCGACCGGGAAGATCGGGTCGTCCTCCTCCTCCTCGCCCGAGTCGGAGTCGCTCGGGGCGAAGGTGAGCGAGGCCGAGGCGGAGAGCGGGTCCATCCAGTCGACGTCGGTCGGCGTGAGCGAGAGCGAGGCAGCGAGCGGCGAGACGGACGCCGAGCCTTCCATCGCCACCGAGGACGCGCCGTAGCCGACCTCGCCCTGAGCAGAGAGCGGAAAGAGGTCCTCGTTCCACTCGACGCTGAGGCGGGCCGCCACTGGCTCGAAGCCAGCAGCGCCGGAGGGCTCGATGTCGAGCGTCATGCTCGCTCCCGGCACGGCGTCGTCGTCGCCGTCCCCGAGGTCGAGGGTGCTGTAGACGGAGATGCCGTCGGCGCCGTACGAGCCGTTGACCGCGAGCGCGACCGGGAAGATCGGGTCGTCCTCCTCCTCCTCGCCCGAGTCGGAGTCGCTCGGGGCGAAGGTGAGCGAGGCCGAGGCGGCGAGCGGGTCCATCCAGTCGACGTCGGTCGGCGTGAGCGAGAGCGAGGCAGCGAGCGGCGAGACGGACGCCGAGCCTTCCATCGCCACCGAGGACGCGCCGTAGCCGACCTCGCCCTGAGCAGAGAGCGGAAAGAGGTCCTCGTCCCACTCGACGCTGAGGCGGGCCGCCACTGGCTCGAAGCCAGCAGCGCCGGAGGGCTCGATGTCGAGCGTCATGGTCGCCGGGCTCACGAGATCGTCGCCGTCGCTGCGGCCGAGGTCGAGGGTGCTTTGGGCGGTGAAGCCGTCGTCGCCGAAGGTGCCGTTGGCCTCGAGGCTGACTGGGAGGAGAGAGTTCGTGTCGTCTCCCCACTCCACGTGGACCCATCCGGAGAGCGGCTTGGACCTCGGCAGCCATTCCAGCAATCGTCCAGACGGCATGAACGTCAGCCCCGCCTCCAAGATCGACGAGTCCGACTCTTCGCCGTTGGTTAAGAGCCGTCCCCGCCTCGAACTCGAGATCCGGTTGGGTGCCTGGCCTGAGCCCTGAACATATACGAGTGGCCCGCCAAGGTCGCTGACGACAGCCTTCCAGTCGACGGCCTTGAGGTAAACAGCGTCGTGCACGTGTGCTGTAGCACTCACATCAAGTCCTGCTATGCCGCTGGCTTCAGCGACACGGGTGAGCAAGCTCGAGGAGAGGCTTCGCGAGGAGACACTGCACATGAAGCCCGCAAACGCGCTGCTGAGAAAGTGGCTGCCCTGCTTGTGTGCCCGCGTGGGATAAAGCCGGCAGTCCTCGCCGAGGCACTGCAGCCCCCACAGGAGATCGATCTCGTCTGGGAGGTTTGCGAGGTCGAGCTCGTGCTCCGAAATCGCCGCTTGCACTTTGAGGTCGCCGACGAATGGCGCATGCGACGGGCCAGCGGGCTCGAGGAAGGAGACGAGACGGAAGGCGAGGTGCAGCACCTGAGCGTCAATTCGTAGACGTTCGGTCGAGGCCGGGAGGAACTCGGCCATCAGCTCCTGCAAGCGTTTGGTGCGCAGAGTGACTCGACCGAAGGCATCTTGTGCCAAGTCGGTCGAGATCTCGATGTTGCCGAGTGGCACGTCTTTCCCAAGCGGGAAGGCGCCAGTGCTCAGGGCCAGGCGAGTCTTTTGGTCGAGACCGAGGACGTCATCGTGACCGCTCAAAGTGTTGAGCCGAGCAGCGAAGCCCGCCCCAGCAGCCTCGGCGGGCTCAGAGAAGCCAGCCTTGAACCCCGTGACGTTGAGGGCGGGAGGGCCAGTGACGGCACTCGAGAGAGCCTTGCCTGCCTCGCTGTTGATGCTCCCAATGAGGTGCGACATGGGCGGAATGCTCACGCGCGCCTTGCTGCTCAGAGTGCTCAGCCCCTCGAGAGCCCAATCGTCAAACTGGACGGATTCGTGGTGGTCCGGCTCCGCGTCGAACCGAAGAGAGAACTGTGTGGGTGGGGTGGCATGGAGATCTGTCAGTCAGGGTGGTGTCTGTGCGCACGGTGAGCTCGAGGGTTGGGGCACCTCGAAGGCGACTTGGAAGCGGAGAGCGCCGGAGGTGAGCCTTCCACGGGCGACACAGGTGAGCTCCGAGTGTAGCCCATCCCGCCATGCAACTAGGCCGACTCCACTGTTGAGCTGGAGATTGACGTCGAGCGTGACGGTCTCGCTTCCCAATTTCGCGGGTGCCACGTCGAGCACCGCCGCGGAGTCGTTCTCTGTTGAAGCGATGCAGCGTGCGCTATCAATGTCGAGCTTGTGCGCGAATGGCATGTTGTTCGGACGTGCACGGACGCGAAACGAAGTGCCGCCGCTCGTCAGCTCGGAGGGTACCACGTCGAGACTAATAAGTTCGAGCTTCACCTTCTCCATTCGCA